GGGATTCAGAACTTTGAAAGGAAAAAAAGCATTTTCAATTATGTTGGTTATGTTTATTTTCTAAACATAGGTGTCCATGTATTCTTGACTTGTGAAAATTCGTTGAACTGTTCACTTGTTTTTGTGTGTGTACTGTTCTTAAGTATATTTCAATAACAGTCTTTAATGAACCAATAATATATCATTATTTTATATGTCAGAACACATAAATGATATTAAAATTGAAAAAAATAAAAACTCAATTATGGCACTACTGCATTAATTTCAATTATTTTTGTCTGTGTATATTTAAACATGGACAATCACTCGTCATTGACAGTTTTTTCTAGGTTAACACAAATTACCAAAATTGATTAAGGAAAAAAACAACAACAAACAGAAAAGACCAACTTTCTATAGTCTAGAAACATGAAGCATTATAATTAAAAAACTATCAGAAAATAATAATATTTTGTCTCAGTTTACCATTAGATTTTCCTAACTTTTAACGAATTAATGAATAGGAAATTTTCAAGCAAAATTTTAAAAAATCTCAGATTTTAAAAAATAAATTCTAGAGTCATAAAGCCCTTTTCATTTCCTTCCTGAGCAAGATCCCCTTCCCTTTGTGATTCTTTGATTAGTGCTTGTCTTTTATTTATCCTTTTTCTTTTTATTTTCATGAACAATTATCCACATGTTTGGTTCTTATTTTCCATATTGGTCATTTTCTCTCACTCATCATTTTCACTGATTGTCTGTGACCTCTATCTTCTAGGAGTGTGTCTTCAGTTTGTTTTCTACAAATCTGATTATATTATCTGTTATCTTCAAAGGCAGTTTTATTCTTCTGCTACTTTTTCTGTTTCCTTTCAGTCTTTTACATTTAAATTTTTTCAACCTCTAGGGTATTTATATATAAGTCAAATAATGTATATGTAAAGATAACAATTTTTTTAAAAGATATCTTTTCTGGTTTCTGTATTAACGCATTGTTCTATATACATTTTACATTTGAGGGTTTAATTTCCCATGTCAAGTAATCATTATCCAAATCATGTTTGGCTTTGATGGTGTGGCTGTTATTGTTTGTTTACTGATCTGAAGACACGATAAAATATATTGAAGGGTTGTGTATTTCAAAAGACAAGTCAGCTGCATAGTACTCCATTGTGTAAATGTACCACAGCTTTTTATCCACTCATTTACTAATGGGCACTTGGGCTGTTTCCAGATCTTAGCTATTGTAAATAATGCTGCTATGAACATAGGGCAGGGGGCATGTATTCTTTCTGGTTGGGGTTTCAGGATTCTTAGGATATATTCCTAGAAGTGGGATCATGTACACATGATCTCACTTATACGTGGAATCTAATTAAAAAAATAACTGATGAATAAAATAAAACCAGAGGCATGGAAACATGGAACATTCTGACAAATCTCAGAGGAAAGGGGGAAGAAGAGGAGGAGGCAGGAAGAGATTAACCAAATAACTTATATGTATACTAGAGGCCCGGTGCACGAAAATCATGCATGGGTAAGGGACCCTAGACCTGGCCAGCAATCAAGGCTGATGGAGGTCTTCCAGCTGCCGCCCGGCCTCCCTTCCCCAGCTGCCAGCTGCCGGCCAGGGCCTTCCTTCATTCCATGCCACCCCCTGGTGGTCAGCACACGTCATAGCGAGTGATCAAACTCCTGGCCTCCTGGTAGAACGCCCGAGGGAACACTTTGCATATTAGCCTTTTATAGATATAGATATGCACTGACCATGGACATAGACAATAGAACGGTGAAGGCCTGGGGCAAGGGGGAACCTGGTGGAGGAGAGCAATGGTGGGGGGGGGGGCAAAGGGAGAGTATTACATCTGTAATACTCTCAACAATAAAAATAAAAAAGACAAGTCAGGAGACTTACCCTTAGCCCTGATAACTTGGTCATACTGATAACTTGGCTGTTAGCAAAGAGCATCTAAGCTTCACAGTTAAAGAGTGGGTTGTGTAAACCTTAGGCACTAAATCCAATGAGTAACAGGCATTCAAATAAAGCATGTCTGCTATAGTGTTGATGTGCCATCTTTTTTCCCCATTTGTGGTCTTCTGACCCTGGTCTGACAGAGCAGCAATTGTCAATCTTCTTCATCTCATGGCACACACAATTCAATTACTAAAATTGTGTGGCACACTAAAAATATATTTTCTATCAATCTGACAAAATTTTTTATTTAGTCACACTGGATGGCTATTGTTGTGTTGCTTGTTATAATTTTTTTAGTTTGACAGTATAAGGGGAAAGAGGTCAGTGACCCTGACTAAACAGTTAGGTATTGCATGTTTTAAAAATTCTTGCATCACACAACTTGAAAATAGCTGTGATAGAGTACTGGGGGAGAGAGAGAGAGAGACAGAGAGAGAGAGAGAGAGAATGAGAATAATTCCCAATTCCTATCATCACCATACCTACAATGATTATTGGGATTTTCTCTCTCCTTGGTGGAATGCATTTCCCTAACTTCTTCCTTCCTCTCTGCTCTTTTCAGTGGGAGGAGAAATATGAAGGTACTGACTAAAGAGGGGTGCCCAGATATTACTGCCTAACTTTCTGAGTCATACAAATCTTGGATCTGTGAGTCATGGGGCAGAAAGCAAGTGAGGAACACAGAAACTCTCATATTATTTAAGGCCATGGATTTGCCCTACTTCAAACTGTGAATTTCATTTTAGCAATGTGGAGTCTTCCCAGAAGCTAATAATAGATGGGCTGAAAGACTCAGTTTTGAATATTGTCATAAATTTTCATCTTTCTCTATGCCCTTGCAGCCACTTTAAGCTGCTTTAAGCACTAAGACAGTAGAACTTTAAAAAAACAAGAACTATTCCTGACATTTTATATTATAATTTAAAAAAACTCTATAAGCATCATTTGGAGAAAAAGTGAATCTTTCAATAATATTTACTCACAACCAAAAGTTATTCCTGAACATTGGTACAATATTACTTTGACAGAGATGGTAAAGTTGCTATTAATAAAATAGCACTTGTAAATATTTGGGTCCATTTCATCAGGAGATCTTAGAAACCCACAAAACCATCTTACAATGTAAATTTTCATTGCTGACTCAATGTGCATTTTACTTTGCACCAAAAGCACTGCAATTTCCTTTGGTAGTTTTTGAAATGAATAAGTTACATTATTTTCAGGTCCTTTCCGTGAGGTGGTTCGATGAGTTCATTTTCATTTCATAACTGGCCAAAATCCAATTTTATCACTTGGAATAATGTGAGGCCCACATTCTGTTCTGGGGAACTGACAAGGCTCAGACTCCAAAATATAACCTAACTACTCTTTTCAAAATATAAACAAATTAAAAAGAGGAAAGAAGAAAAACGTATCTTGAGAAAGTCTTTCAATACTACATCACATATCACAGAATTTAAGAATTGATTTCTTACACATAAGTTTAAAAGAAATCATTTCCATGAGCTTCCCACTGTTTTTTCACTTTTTTCATGTCATTGGTTTCATATAACTCTTTGAAAATGTCTGGTCATTATCAATTTTATTGTACTTGTTTCATGTGAACAATTTGGAATTTGAGCTTCCTGTCCCTTGGACCATAAACCAGATGTCTGGCTGTTTGTTGAGGTGGTATGGAGTAAATTGAAACCATCTGGACTAGAGATGGAAGGTCTGGGCTTGAGTGCTGGATCTGCCTCATACAGGGTGTGCAAAAGTAGGTTTACAGCTGTGAGTATGTGAAACAAAGTTTATTCGTGTATTTTTATTTATTTACTATTGTACTATTTTCCATATGAACAACTGTAAACCTAGTCTTGTCCCACCCCGCATTAGCTTTATCAGTGCTATGCAGTTTACTGTCTGATCTATAGGCTGGTGTCACTGTGCAGATGCTAACTGGGAGGAGTATAGGAACTCAGAGAAAGCATTAGAAACTTTCAGACCCATTTCATGGAGTAATTCCAAATCTGTAGAATAATAAAAAATAATTAAAATGTGGAGTTGTGTCTGCTTTTTAATCATTTTATTTCTCTAGTAAGTAATATTTAGTCATTCTACAAAAACATTGTCTGCAATGGATTAGAAATACACTGACACTTAACCACAGTCTGAGAAACACAGCTCCAAGACCTCCAGTGATCTAATTAGCCTCTGGGACCTTAATTTCTCCATCTGTAAAATAGAAGTAATGCTCCCTACCTCGTCTTCCACAACGACTATGTGAATACTAAATAAAAGTAATTATTCATAACTTATTTGCAAACTATAACACCTCATATAAATATATAATTATACTCTAAGTAGCAATCATTTGAAAAAAAGCATGGCATCTCAGCTAAAAAAGAAAAAAGTTTGTCATTTTCAGATATCCAATAAATGTTTGTTGATTTTACGAATAAATATAAGAACAGAAACTCTGCCACCAGACACACCTATCTCGGGGAGCAGTGTGCAATTTAAAGCAAGTCCAATAATCTGTAAATAGCTGTTTTTTCATCTGTAAAATGATAGCAAAAATAGCTTCTACCTCTAAGGGTTGTATTCCATAAAATAATGCATTAAAGTGTTTAGCATTTAATACTTGGTTTTTAGAAAGTATTCAGTAGACAGTAGACTAATATCTTTAAACTCTTTTTCTATGTTGAGGAAACTATTCGATTCTTTATATGCAATATTTTAGTTCTTAGGAAAAATCCTAACAAGATAATTATTATAATCTCTATTTTAAAATTAAAAAAAAAAATAAGACTCAAAGAATTAAGCAACTTTCACAAGTTCAAATAGCTACTTTAAATCCATGACTGTCTAGAACAGATTGGTGACTTCCCACAGAATACCAACTCCCCAAGGTCTTCCAAGTAATGACAATGAATTTCACAGGCACTGTCCTTTGAGAAGCACTCTCATTTTTGTTTGTAAATTCTGAGAATTGTTGCATAAAAAAAGATAACAACAGATTTAATGACATAGAAAAAGATACTGATGCATTACTTTTTTCACTTACCAGTTTGACTTGTTGGGGTCCTCATGCTGATGCTGGCCTCTTTCAGTGTTTCACTCTGGGCCTCTTCGCACGACCCTATTTCAAAGCTGCAAAAAATATATATATAAATAAAAATGATGCTTGCTTCTAGAAGGAAAAGGAATTCTAGGGACAAAATAGGCCAGTTTAGAGACTAATGAGGGGAAACATACATAAGTGAGGGCTTGGACCCACCAGAAGGCATACAGTCACAGAGGATAAAGAAAAGTCACAGAGAACTGGGAAGAAGGAAACACTTTCACAGAGGATAGAGAAGTGTTGATAGATGTCAGAAAGAGGAAAACATATTTTCACCAGAGACAGAGGAATGTTCCAAGATAAGGGGGAGAAAAATAGGGGGGGTATCCCGTGAGTTTTGGAATTTGAAACTGATATTCCACAAAAGAGTAACCAATTAGGAGAGCTCAAGGTCATCAAATGGGGAAGGGGTCCAATTAGAAGGGAGCATGAAGAGACAAAGAGCTACAGCTTATATAAACCTGAGACAAAGGGACATGACACAGGTTTGTAGGTTTTAGATTTTTTTGGGTTTAGTTTTTTTTTTGTTATTGTTGAGAGAGAGAGAGAGAGAGAGAGAGAGAGAGAGAGAGAGAGAAAGAGAGAGAGAAGGCTTTTCCCATTTGGGGGCTTCTCTCAGGGGGTCCCTTTTGGGGACACCCATTCCGAGATGGAGTTTGTATATGCTTCCAATAAACTTCTACATTTTTATTAAAGAAATCTGTTAGTCCACTAGTTTATTCTTCAAACTTCGTGAGGACAAGGGCCCACAAGAAGAAATGCCTGCACCCCAAACTCCATGCTTCAGAAGGATCTCTATATTAATGACCACAACAATAATAATTTAAATTTGCATAGCACCAGCTTTATAAAGCTCTTTGAAAAACAAATCTGGGGGGGGGGGGTAAGGACACATTTGTAATACCTTAACTAATAATAATAAAAAAAGGAAAACAAAAAAAAAAGAAAAACAAATCTGGATTAACCAACTTCATATATTTGGAATTTTGCATCTTGAAAGGAAGTACATTGTTTATCTTAAAATTTTTAGAACATGACAAGGTAACTATCACCCAGGCATTCACTAAATTACATTCTTTTTCATTAAATAGATGAATGAATGAACTCATGTTCAAATAAATATATTCATATATTTAAAGATTTTCAACCTTCGAATCCAGAAGGCAAAATGTTATTATTTTTTATTATGGATGAAGAAAAGGCCACATGCTAACCTGACCAGCAAACTCAAAGACCTAAAGTAACCACAAAGGATGGTCTGAAATTAATACTTTAACTAAAAGCAGTTTATAGTGTGTAGTCACATCCTAGGCCAGTATCTTCCTTGACAAAGGTCAATCTTTACTTTAACTGCGCCTATTATCTTTTTGCACCTAAGATAACTTTCCTGTGAAATGTCAGGGTATCTTGTAACTTCTCTTTTTCTGGACCCCTCAGGGGAAAACCAAATGTGCCTGGGCACTAGTACAGAGAGCACAAATTATTTCATTGTTATCATTATCATGTTAATTGTTGACTGCTAAGGATCCTGTACCCACCTGGGTAAAAGAAGTGTGTGTCTATCATTTTACTTTTCATCTAATCCCAGAGGTTTCCTCCCACCTTTCTTTCTCCGCCTCCCTAATCTATCACCAGTGGATTTTATGTAACCCACTTACTTGTTCTCCTTTGATTGTTAGGACTCTGGAGCATTATCCCAATACATTGAGATTATGCTTCCTGGCAATTGTCTACAGTTTGGCTCAAATAAAGTCACAAAAATTCTTTACAGGTTTGAACATTTTTACAGAGAAGGATAATGTTTGCAAAAAAGGGGAAAACAGGTTTTAAAGAGGAAATATTTTTGCTGTGTCTAAACCTGCCTTTTCAAAGGTTAAGATTTCACAATGACGTCATCAGACAAGCCACAGATTAATCCTTGTATTCTCAGTATTTCATAATTACATGAATCTGAAAATGTGTTATCAAAAATAGTTATGGTCTATTTATACAGGAAAATTTAAATACAATCTTTGAATTACTGCTGAAGTCATTTTAATGTTGAAAATGGGAAATGAAACATTCTTTTCAGAATTACAATGTGGCTTTTCCATTGTCATGAGGGTCCTTTTCCTCCTAATGCTAGTTTCCAACTCAACTCCAGCCATCCTCTGCAACGCCCCCAAAAAGAGAAAGATAAAAGAGAGAGAAATATAAGTTAACACAAAAACAGTAAAAGCTATTCTAGGATTGTTTTCATTAACTCAGAATAAGTGTAATAAAGTAAAATACTTTCTTGCTTTTTTCTTTTTTTTATTGAGATATGTATTTTAACATTGTGCAAATTGAGGATGTACAACATATTAATTTGACATTATTGCATTCTTTGAATAATGATGTCAACCACATTCCTTTGAACCTCAAATTTATATACCAGATTATCTTCTTGACATTGCTATTTCTGTGACCAATGATAATACTAATAATTATTATTTTGTTGCCAACAGTGTAACAGAAATTGTTCTTATCATTTTATAGACATTACCTTTTTTGTTTTTGTTTTTACATTTAAGCCACATTACTCTTCACAAACAAGAAAAAATTATGCTTATTGTCAGGGTTTTCCATTTATTCTAGAAGCTGTAGCAATATTATAGGATATTCAATATATTTGTAAAAGGAGCTATTGACAAATTAAAGTGTATCCAAAACAAGATGACCAGAATAGTGAAATGTTTGGAAACATGCCTTGAGAGGAACGTATCTGTCATTTTATGTTCAAGAAAGCGGTGATGTTGAGTCTGAAAGATGCCCCACATCCCTGGAAGGGGTTGATAGCTCCCTCCTAGGGATGTGTGTTTATATAACTTAATAAATGATATCTTATCTCATTAATTTAATAAATTAATAATATTAATCTAAATAATAGTAATAATTTTGTGGCACTTACTAATGTCCAGAAACTATATTACTACTTTAAACATGGCAAAACTGAGATTTAAATTAAGGTATGCTATTATTTTTATAATCAAGAGAAAATTAATATTTTTCTATGATTCAAGTAAATATCTTCCATGATGGAAGACAGTTTAGGCAGTCGGTGATATTACAGAAGAAAACACAAGGCACCCTCTATGTTATACAGTTTTTTAAAGCAAAATATTTATGTCAAAATAAGTATTATTTTCAAAAGCATAGGAAAAATGTAAATTCTATAGTATACCAATTCTAGTCCTTGTTTCCAAAATTTAGTAAAGCGTATTTCATGCTAAATGTTCTTGGATTTACTGCTGATGGAAATCGGTAAGCTTAAGTGTCATCACTTTTAAAAGGATAGAGAAACTATGACTAGATATTGAACAAAATATAATATTTAAAATGATGTACCCATTAACAAGGATATGCTTATTTCTGACATTTTCAGCCAAATTTCCAAATAGCAATATATTACATTAACATTTATTCTAATTACATTAATGACATGGTCACCCATTGGTCATACATAATATTGCCATTTTTCCCGTAATGAGTATCATTACTATAGCATGTCTTAACTATTGAAACTATGACACAACACACACACACACACACACACACACACACACACACACACACAAGGGGATTTTTTAGGAATTATGACTCTAATACACTTTGGGGAAAACCTAGTAGAGGAACTTCCAAAACAAACTTTCAACCCCCATACTAAATTACTTTTGTCTAGTGTGATAGATTATGATTTCATATGAGGTTCACTTAAATTTCATATGAGGTTCACTTAAATTTCCAAAGAGTTGAAATAATAATCATTGTAGGTTAATAGTGGTTTCACTTGATTCAGTAAGAAATCAAGAACTTTTAAGAGCCCTAACAGGTTTGGCTCAGTGGATATAGAGCATCCGCCTGTGGACTGAAAGGTCCCAGGTTCAATTCCGGCCAAGGGCATGTACCTGGGTTGCGGGCACATCCCCAGTGGGAGGTGTGCAGGAGGCAGCTGATCGATGTTTCTCTCTCATGGATGTTTCTAACTATCCCTCTCTCTTCCTCTCTGTAAAAAATCAATAAAATATATTTTTCAAAAAAGAACTTTTAAGAACACAGACAAGTTATAGTCTCTTTCCATAGATTCATATCAAAACAAGTTTAACAAACACTAGGCAGTGTTGTTTTTTATTTCATTATTTCTGAGAGCCAGCCTATCATTATCTTTGCCTGAATTTGAAATTCATGTTTGACAACTTTTTTTCTGGTAAAGAAACACTTAAGTGACTCCACAGAATAAGGTATATTAACCCTGAATGTGTTTCCAAATCAATTATTCAGAAAAGTTTGTTCTTTTCAAAAGCAGATGGGGAAATGTTCAGGAAATTTCCGGTGAAAGACACAAGCCCTGGCCGGGTGGCTCAGTTGTTTGGAGTGTCAAGCCATACCACAAAAGGTGGCAGGTTCCATTCTGGCCAGGGCACACACCTGGGTTGCAGATTTTATCCCCTGTTGGGGTGGGTACTGGAGGCAACTAATCGATGTTATCGATGTTTCTCTCTTCTCTCTCTCTCTCTCTCTCTCTCTCTCTCTCTCTCTCTCTCTCTCTCTCTCTCTCCTCTTTTCTCTTTCCTTTTCCCTTTCTCTATAAAATTAATAAGCTAGCCTGCCTGGTGATGTTCAGTGAGAAGGGCACATGCCTGGGTTGTGAGCTTGATTCCCAGTTGGGGGCATGTAGGAGGCAGCCAGTCAATGATTCCCTCTCATCATTGATGTTTTTATCTCTCTCTCCCTTCCTCTGTATCTAAAAATCAATAAAATAAAATAAAAATTAATAAATGTGTCCTTGTGTGAGGATAAAAAAAAGAAAAGGTAGTAAAGTGTTGGACTGAGAGTACCAGGCCTAGTAGAGGTTTTGAAGATCAGGTCATCATAGTTTTAAAAAGATTTGCTCATGTCAAGATAATTCTATCAGCTGGTGGTAGCTACCTGACTTATAGATATATTATGTAAGAAGAATGAGACAGCTTCAAATATTGACTTTGTGATTTAAAACTATAGAGTCTCAAAG